AAAAATTTACAATTTTTAATTATAAACCTGTGTTTTCTATCAAAATTACTTCTTGCGTGAATTTTGGGACACCCTTTAGTAATATAAGCTCCACAGGAGAGAGCTTGGCACATTTTTGGTGCTCAATAAATGCTGTTTAACTAGTAATGAATACTTCATTCACCAGGCTTTATTTACAAGCAATTATAATCTGGGAAAGCTTTGTTGGTAAAATGGAAAAGGCACATTTGATAGACATTTAGCCATGGAGGGGCCCTCTGCAGTAATTCAGTGTGTGTGACTTTACAGAAGGTCTAGACCAGCCGTGGGCAAACTACGGCCCGCGGGCCGGATCCAGCCCATTTGAAATGAATAAAACTAAAAAAAAAAAAGACCGTACCCTTTTATGTAATGATGTTTACTTTGAATTTATATTAGTTCACACAAACACTCCATCCATGCTTTTGTTCCGGCCCTCCGGTCCAGTTTAAGAACCCATTGTGGCCCTCGAGTCAAAAAGTTTGCCCACCCCTGGGATAGACCTAGTGATATTAAGTGTCTGCTTAAGATCATATTGGTAAGTGACAGAAATAGGACTAGAGTATAGATCTCTTACTCCCAAGAGCATCCTTTTTTCAATAAAGTAACATTGTGTCTTACGGTTTGTTTTGTTTTAGTATGTGATCTTACTATAGGGATTGTTTGGGAATGTTGGAACACTAAAAAAGTCACAATTTCGATTTGTGAAGTCAAACCTTAACCCTTTGAGTGCCAACCAATATCCTAGGAACTATGCTAAAATTGCCAAGGCATTTTTGCTGATTTCAGAGCAGTTTAGGAAAAAAATTATGAATCGCAAGTAAATGAAGTTACATATTCAAAAATCACTACAAGCATTCGGCATCATAAGTAATCTGCACTTAGGTGCCATCTGTCAATAAAGAGTGAACTACTAGCATCTAATAGTGACACTGCAGGAGGAGCGCGATCGCGCTCCCTGGCACTCTAGGGGTTAAAATACTTTAGTCTTCAAAAACTCTATTATGCTCAATATATAAGTAATGCTAATCCTATATAATAAAAGCCTAATATGTTAAGTGTCTGACCTTTTGCTCAACCGTTCAACCAGTCGTTATGACACACACTGACCATCAGGGGGCAGATGCTCCAGCCGGTAGGTTAGCTTGCTGCTGGGGTCCGGCCATTCGGGACTGGGCAAGATGGGCCCGACATGTCCTGGAGCCCTCCTGTGGTCCCTCCCCAGCCCCAATCGTGCACCGGTGGGGTCCTTTGGCATGGCCTGCGCCCTATCACAATCTGGGACCTCTCGGGGGATGTCGGAGAGCTGGTTTCAGCCCAATCCCCACAGGCCAGGCCAAGGGACCCCACCAGTGCATGAATCCGTGTACCAGGCCTCTAGTGTTTTTATAAGATTAAGTCAAATTAAAGTGATTGCTTTTTGCCCTAGCTGGTTTGGTTCTGGATAGAGCTTCGGCGCAGGACTGAAGGGTCATGGGTTCAATTCTGGTCAAGGGCACATACCTCGGTCAATCCATGTGTCTCTGTCGCATCAATGTTTCTCTCTGTCTCTCCTTCCTCTTGCTCTAAAAAATCAATGGAAAAATAGCCTTGGGTGAGGATTAACAACAACAAAACAGTGGTTTGCTTTTATGAATCTGAATGTGAACTTCAGGACACATAGTTTTTGAGAATTTATTTGTAGTGAGAGAAATTAATTTATTAATATCTTAAATAATGGCATTGATTTGAGAAAAAGAAGAATTCTTTGTTTGTGATTTTTTTCCCCTAGAAATAATTTCCAGTGTCACATGAGGAACTTTTTAATAAAGTGACTTGATAACTTAGTATTAATTAGTATAATTTTATTTTACTGAGATGTGAATTCCTCTTCATCAACTGAAATAACCAGAAATAGCCAGCACCTGGACATGCATCTAAATTTAAACACACACACTTACACTTGTTTCTATCAGATATTTCTGACCTTGCTATTTAATTACAGAAGTTTAGGCAATGAAGTTAACATGCCAAAATAGTACATGAGAGGGTTAGCTACTTTTCTGAAAGAATCTGTTAGCTTAAGATAATATAAGTTAACCCCATAAATAGGTACAGAAATGATATAATTAAATCAATGGATTATTCTGGAATACTTCTCTTATTTTGAGTATGAAGTCAGTCTTTCCCATCAAAATTCTGTAGTACAATGTGCTCATACTGAGGTGTTGGTATGGGAACCTTTGAGAGAAGCTACACAAAGCTTCCGGATAAACATGGAATAGCTGACTCTTGTCAGTTTTTTAAGATGGGAAATAACTTTATTTAAAAGCTATTTCATGGGATAAATTTCCAAATTTTTATAAATTTCAGCATAAAAATAAAATTTTAAATATATGTTTGCAACGAATAGCATTGGCTTATGAATGTGTAGATGTACTTTATTTTGGCCATTAGAGAGAAGTACTCTACTCCGTCAGAGACAGAGCCGTGGGGTAGATGGATCATTGTTAGATTGAAATAATTGGTGTCAGACTAATATATTCTGAAAGACAAATATTACATTGAGAGAATGCTTTCAGAATAAAGTCTTTTCTATTGGTTAGTGTCATATTGATAAAAAGTTTATGTGGGAAGGAAAGGAATTAAGAATTTTAAGCCAAAGGATAGATTACTTCATATATATTTAGCTAAAAGGTTTTTATAAAGTTCAGAAATTATACTGTATTTCTGAAAATTCAGAAGAGTGGCACTGAGAATTATTAGAAATTAGTTAAATTGCATGTTTAGTATTTAAAATATTCCTCTAGACTTGCTCTTCTTTTATTTTTTCAAAAAAAATATTTTTATTGATTTCAGAGAGGAAGGGAGAGGGAAAAGGAGAGATAGAAACATCAATGATGAGAGAGAATCGTTGATTGGCTGCCTCCTACACACCCCACACTGGGGAATCGATCCTGAAACCCCGGCATATGCCCTGACCAGGAATTGAACTGTGACCTCCTGGTTTATAGGTCGGCACTCAACCACTGAACCACACCGGCCAGGCGTAGACTTGCTCTCCTTAAAGTAAAAAACTTTAAAAGTTTAAATAGAGCCTGGCATTAAAAATATAGAGATTGATGAAAAATAAAAAATACAATGGAGAATTGGGAAGAACTTTAAAAGGTTTCTAACTTAACCTTATACATAGTGTAGAAGTCTCCTATTTGAAACTCCCTCTGGAAAGAGTCTTTTTGTGAAATGATGGTTGATTTGATTATTGTTGAATATTTTAAAAACTTTCTTTACAGACTGTGTTAGAGTTGGACAGAATGGAAATGTCTATGGATGCTGTAAGTATACTCTCTTGCTTTTATTCTTAAAAGTTGACATACACTCATCATTAATGTTCCACAGTTTCACTTTAAACTTAAACTTAGTTTCAGAACAAGTTTTATGAGAAAGATTTGTTGGATCAAGAGAAAGAAAGAGAGGAACTGCTTCTTTTGGAAATGGTATGTTATTTTCACATGCACACACACGTATTTTTTTCTGACCAATATTAAATATGCTTTGTTATTAAACCTATTAAATAATTTCTTTCAATTTACACTACTCTTTTTCTTCCTAAATCACTAAAAAGTCCTGATTTTTTTTTTTTTTTAATCCTCACTGGAGGATATTTTTTCCATTGATTACTAGAGAGAGAGAGTGGAAGTAAAGGAGGAGGGGAGAAAGAGAGAAACATCAACATGAGAGAGACACATTGATTAGTTGCCTCTGGCATTTGCCCCTACCGGGGCCAGGGAACCTGCAACCACAACTGAGGTATGTGCCCTTGACTGGAAGTTGAACCCACAACCCTTTGGTCTGTGGGCTGATGCTCTAACCAGCCAGGGCAAGAGTCCTGATCTTTTGATATCTGTTATTTTATGAACTATAAGGAAAATGATATTTGAAAGGCTTTAAAACTATTTTATTTAAGTATTATTGACATACAATTAACTGCATATATTTTAGGTATAGGATTTGATGAATTTTAACATGGGCATATCTATGAAACCATCACCACAATCAAAGCACCAAACATTTTCATTCCCTTAAAGGTTTCTGCATGGCCCTTTATGATTCATATCTTTTACTCCAGACCCCAGAAAGCATTACTCTAGTTTCTGTCACTACAAATTAGTTTGCAACGAGAATTTATATAAATTTAATAATATGTATGTGATTTTTTTGTCATGCTTTTTCCATCATCATAATTTATTTGATATGAAGTTTAGGATTAGTTTGTTCATTTCTATAAAAAGCCTGCTAGAATTTTTGTGAGGATTGTGTTAGGATTGATCTACAGATCAATTTGGAGAATTGCCATCTTAACATGAGTCTTCCTAATTCATGTACTATGTCTACCCCTCCATTTATTTAGCCTCCTTTACTTTTTTTAAGTTTTATTTTATTGTTTAAAGTATTACATATAGTATTATAAAT